GCCAAAACCCTGGATGCACCACGGCCTAGAGCCAATTTGAGCCTGAAACATGCATCAAGCAGCCAGTTGAAAAAGAAGGCTTGCGCTTCCTTTTTTTGCCTTCTGCTTTGGACAAAAGTGTCAAAGGGCCCCGAAACAACCACAGGATCCTTCGTGAGGAAAAGTATAGTTTGAGATCAAATATAGCAGCGTGTCAACGCTCGCCCCCTGTCTCCAGCTGGCTGGGAAGGGGCACCACGCGTGCCTTTTCACAACACAAAGCAGGCTAGGGTCGGAAGCGCATAGACGCAGTTTGCCACTTTCAATATAAGGGAAGATCCGGGGGCCAAGATCACTACAGCACAGGGGCCTGCCTGGGCGATCTCACGCCTCTTTCGCAAGGCGGCCAGATATTATATTGTCGCAAAGTCTGACCAGCACGAAAAGCGGGCGACGTGTCTGACTGCCGCAGCCAGCCAAATAGCATGTTGCGCAGCCAACTGCACGCGCGCAAGGCCAAGCGCTAAGACATTATAGAGCAGGGCCACATCTGTAGAAAACGCTGTGTCCCAAGCCGAGTCGAGGCCCAACCCTGTGAAACACAAGCTAGCTCGCGAGCCATCAATCACTTGAAGTTTTGCGGCGTCTGCGTGGTGGCCTTCTGCAAAAACAAGCACGGCTATGTGCGTCTAAGTGTTGTCGGCCTTACCGGCCTCGCACGTGGGGTTGCCTCGCACAAACCCAGTTTGCGCCCCATTCGTCGGCAACGCGGGCCCGCCATAAAGCTTGCGCGCGGACGTTCTTAATCCCACCTAAACAATGCCCACGCCGCGCGCGTTAAATCTGGCGCCCGGCCCGTCACATCCAAAAGGGGATGTGACACATCTGGCGCGACCCAAATTGTGATCTTTCGCGCGGGCTCCAGAAAACTGGATGTGATTAGGGGAGGTTTCCGACGCAGTCGTGGGAGTTGGCCGATGCGCTTGCTGGCTTGGATCTGCAAACAAAGATCTTGGACCCTGAGTTGCGGGGCGCGCCTGCAATTGTTCGACCGGCCGACCCAGGCGAGGCTGAGGAGGCGTTCAAGCTGCAAGCTTTTGTTTCGCCGGATGGCAAGCCGGCGGGCGCTCGTCGCGGCTATCCTGGGCCGCTCAATGCTTCTGAGCCATTCCAGGTCCTGGACGGATGCCTGAGCTGAGTACGGAGGAGCAAGAGGCATTTTACAAGAACTGCCGCGCAAGCTGGAAAGAAGGTGAGAGCCGAGCTGATTCAGAGCGTGATGCAGAGGGTGATAGCAAGTCTGAGCAGCACATCAGGAGGCACGCTGAACCAGCTATGGCTCGCAGCTGCTTGCGCGCAAGCCCGGACTGTCCCGCAGTCTTAGCGCAGTCCCGCAAGCAAACCAAACAGACAGACGGACGAACAAACAGCCGGACAGACATACAGACGTGGCAGGTCGCCGCGCGCGACAACAGTTGCGTGGACACAAAGCACAGGACACCTCTGTGGATATAGACTCCAGGAACTTCTTGGCAACCCTTCGGGGTTTCGCGTTGGTCTTTACTCGCAATATCGATAGATTTGCAACACAGTTTTTCTTTGAAATGGCGACATACTCAAGCAAGCCTGATGCCTACTAAGTCTCTCGTGAGCTGTGGCCAAGAACGCATCCGCAAGAAGGATAAATCGCCCCATCGGCTTCTGCAGGGAAGAATGACGATGCTTGGCCGACTGCAAGTCTCTCATGCCACTGTCACGCAGAAATTCGCCGTCCATGTGCCGAACCTTAGCGCGACGAGACACTATGGCCACACTTGCGGCATGTGTGTTAAAACATGTCCACTTTTGAGCCTAGCAACATGCTTCGCAAACATCACCTTCAAATCCTGGCGAATGCCAAATCAGCGCAGTCATAGACTCCTTTCCAGATATGAATTGCTGCATGTATTTCTGAAGCGTCTCGTCAAGATGCCATGTCTTTGCAAACCTTAGCCAGCAAGGCAGCTGTCTGTTAGTTGTCCGTTCCGCGCAGGGTTGTTTACTGGGAATGCAACACGTGAGGACTGCGCTGAGTTGCCGTTGGACAGCATGCGCGCTGTCGCGCAGTCGAATCTTCATAGCTGGAAAAGTCTCGGCAGGAAAGTGGTCCCGAAGTGAGAGTAAACGGCCGGCTCTCAGTTCATCAGCGGCCGCATCCGAAGCAAACATTTCCTCAGCAGCGTCAGCGTCAGGGAGAAGCATTTTGTTTTGAAACATGGAGCAAGCAAAGCTTTGCCGCCTAGGTTCCACCCTTCTGCGAAAATGCTGCCAAGCCTTTTTGTAAAATGTCGGCGCCTTCCCGCACCACCCAGACGGAGGTTTTCTTCTAGCCTGAAACATAGTTTTTG